GTGTCAGAGGCAGTGCGATTGGCACAGGATAGAGCAGGGTTTAGGGCTGTTGTACATAGGATCGCTATGAGTCACAAATGACTCGATGGCACATAACAACAACAGCTAGTCTACCTTTAATTTTAGTAATTTGTGTGTCTTTCTGGTCCTGTCTTGTGAACACTGACCAACAGAGATCATGTGAGTTTAATTGAACTGGTTTAACAACAACAACACAGGACACTGGGATATTGTTATGTTCTTGTTTTATATTATTTTTTATTGATATGAGCCTCCTGTTTAGAGTCAACACCACCTCTTAGAGGGCCTTTGTTTTTCAGGCAAGTCCCTTCTCTCTACTTTGGAGATTGGGGGAAGCAGTTCTACTCTGAAAAATGCCTCTCTTATTTTGATTGAGGGTTGTGTGGACTGTTTGGTTGTTTTTTTAATTTAAGCATCTTGTTTAGAGTCAACATCACCTCTTGGAGGGCCTTTGTATTTAAAAGTCAGTTGGTCCCAGGGCCTGTAGCCCTCAGGGCTAGTGTAATTATAATTTAGAGGAACATTTTTCTCAATGGTGCAGCACAGCACTGGTCTGTCAATTTGGTGTACTGAAGTAGCTGTGATGTTGAGTTCTTTGCCATTGGGGTGCCAAATGCCGTAATGGTTACCCATGGTGGACAGAGTTTGGTGGAGCTCCAAGATTAAGACATTTTTGGAAGCAGGAATGGCATCCACTTCCTAAACAACGTGCCTCTGGAAACTCTTATCAACTTTGAGAAATGACTATAATGATAAAAAGCCTCCAGGCCTTTTGTCCATAGGGTCGCTATGAGTCGTGCTCAACTTAACAGCAATCAGCAACAACAACAACATATTTTATTAAGCAAGCAAGTGTGTTGTGCCTTTTGCTAATTTGTTGAGTCTTAGTATTTCCTCTTCTGTCTTCTGGTGGGTCTGACGGAGGATGGAGGTGTGTGTGCACAGCTCTCATTGTGCTGCTTGTGGAAAGAAACTGGGGACAGACTGGTCGGCTGTTGGTTGCAATCTTTCACAGATCAGTGAATTGGAGCTATTTTTTAATCTTGCTTGATGAGTAAAATTGCAAGAGGTGTTTGTGTGCTGCCTGTTGCTAAATTGGGCAAAGAAAAAGGACAATAAAATAAAACAGTAACAAAAATGTCCAAATTTGGGCAGTAAAAGCAAATAGAAATAGCAAAACTGGGAATGGTAAAAAAGGAAGGAAAATCAGAAGAATCTATTGCTATCAAGGTGTAATTGACCCACAGCTGACCCTCCAATGGGTTTCTAGAGGAGATTGCTCATCTATTCCACAGAGTCACTGTGGATTCAAACTGGCAGACAGGTGTGACCTTTGGGTTAGCAGCACAACTCCCTATGATCTATGTCACCAGGCTCAGAACAGAAAGGCAGAAAAGTAAAAAAAGAAACAGAGAGAAAGTAATTGAGATAGATAGATAGATGGATACATAGATACATAGATAAATAAAAGTCTAGAAGAGGAAAGGAGAAAAGCTAGAAAGAAGAGAAGGTGGAAGGAAACGTAAAAATACCCCCCCCCCAGAAAACCCTCCTACAAGAGCAAAGAAAGAAAACAAATAAACAAGCAAATAAAAATCTAAAAATTGAAAACTGGGGGCCTGGAGGAGGGTGGGTTGTGCACCCTCCTGATTAGTATTTTAGCCACTGCCTGTTGGGTGGAGGCAAAGTGTGGTTTGGAACAATTTGTCTTCCAGCCAGTAGAAGTCTGGGATTAGGGTTGCCCAGTCAGGTTAGAATTTCTTCTCATTTGAGAAGTGGCTGAGGCTTCAAGATGTGAGGGAGATGGGTTGTAGGCTAGGATGGTCCAGGAGAACACGGTCATCCACCTGGTAGGTGGTGGTGATGAGAAGAAAGTCACTCCCCTGATTTCTGCCAGAGTATGGGGAACCCTGGAGTTTCTTGTCACCAGCCAGCTGTTGGCGTGAGCACTGAGGCAATCCCAAGTCCCACACAGACTAAACAGCCACTTGCCAACATTCAAAGTGACCAGGCTGTGCTGTTTACAATTTTCTTTTTACTATGTTAGCCACTTATTAGATCTTTTCATGCAATTACCTCCTTCACAGTATTTGAGGCATATTTTTATCTTTTCCTTTTAAATTCAGGGTTCCAGAATTATCATCCATATTGGCAAAGAATATTTAGTATACCATGGACTACATAAAGAGCAAACAAACCTGTCATGGAGGACGGACAGCTGGAGTGCTCATTAGAAGTGATAATGGTGAGAATTCGCCTTCTGTACTTTGGTCTTGTTACAAGGGGCAGAAAAGGACTTCATGCCTGGAAAAGTGGAAGGTCAACAAAGGACATGAAGACCCTCGGTGAGATGAATTGTTGTAATGACTGCAACAATGAGCTTAAGCACAGCAGAGATGTGTGGGTGATGCAGGACTGGGTAGGGATTCATTATGCTCTGCATGGGGTTGTTAGTTTGAACTGACAGGAGACAGTACCACACAATATCAAAACATACACACACACTCACGCACAGAGAGTCTCTAAAATAGTTGACTTTTTTCCTCCTTTGGTCTATCTTTGTCCTTCAGCAAACTACCAGATCATGTTTGGAAGGAGTTCAAGAAAGTTCATGGTGAAATATTCTGGAGGCAACTCTGATTTACAATCACTGTAATGCTGATACCTGCACTGGGAAAACTTGTTGTATCTTGATGAAGACACTACATTCTCTCCATGCAACTTCTCCTTTCATCTGTCCATCGATCTCTTAGTTCCCAAACTTCACTTCTGCACCTTTTCTTTCTGGCAGGCAGTCTGCCTTCAAACACAGTGACTGTGAATGGAGTTGATGTGAGATCTACACAGTCCCAGCCCACCCATATCAACATCTACATCAAAGAATCAGCTTGGGCCCAACTTCTAAAGGCTGGAGGTTCCCTGAGGTGCTGTGTTTTCCAACCTCGGGACACTGTCCATCCCAAATCCAGGATGAGACATGAACAATTGGCACTAGGGGTAAGCAGAACTATGGGTAAGCATGGACTGGAGCGGGGGGTGAGCAGGGTGAAATGGAAGGAACATGACATGGATTTCCATAAGGAGTCCCTTGACAAGCTTCTATCTCAATCCCATATTGTTTGTTCCAGAGAGCTTTTAGAATCTTCCCTGACCATGGAGCGTGTATGACAGAATGATTGGGAAATTAGATGTCTTTAGCTGTTTTCTCCAAAGATTTCCCTAAGAAGGGACTATTATCCTTTTATTTAGTACAAGGAAGAGACCCAGACAAAAGTGGGATGATGGATAGGGGACTTTCTCTGGAGTGAACGCATCTATAGTTAAACCAGTTCAATTAAACTCACATGATCTCTGGTGGTCAGTGTTCATAAGACAGGACCAGAAAGCCACACAAATTACTAGAATTAAAGATAGACTAGCTGACATAAGAGGAAAAGATACCCAGGACACACCAGACAGCTTCCTGAAGAAACTGGCATCTGAGCCAGAACCTGAGTGGAGGAGTGGGCTTGGATGGAGAGAGATGGAAGGTTGAAGAAAGAAGTGCCAAGTTAAGAGGATGGCCAAGAAAAGAGGAAGAAACCAGAATGCACATGACCAGCTCTGTCATCATGCATCTGGTATGTGGAGAATGTGAATGGGGCTTAAGATGGATGGGACTGGAATGCAGACCAGGACCACATGGTCAAGGGCCAGGGAGTCAAGAGATGTGGTCTATCTTGAGTTAGTTTCTGTTTTAGGAAGGCTACATGTGATGCTGAGCAGAAACATAATCTTTAGCCCATAGGTTTTTGAAACATGCTCTTACTTCTTTGAGTGATGAAGAGCCAGAATGAGATTTGAGTCTCTCCCAGAAGCCCTCAGAGTTATCTGTTTGGATCTCAAGACAGATGTTGGGGCCAGAAACTGAGGCAAGACTGAGGATTTGGATGTGATGGTGGACTTACTAAAGAAGAATGAGAAGACAAGGTTGGCACCATCTCATGGCATGACCAACTATGGAAAAAGTAATCAAGGATTAACAACTACACACATTAGGAGAGTAACAGTACAGGTAAGTCAGCACGGCCTTACAGTTTAGGAGCAAACAGGACCTCAGAACTGGAAGCTGCAGGAGAGGTAGAGAGGTCCACAAACAAGAAGAGATGAGCCACTTTGGCCAGAGTTGAGTAGCTGCCCCTGGGACACCTAGACCCATGAGAAGAGTCTAGTTAATCATCCCATCTTGCAGGTGACCCAAGTACTACTGGGAGTTGTGAGCTGTGCTTTTGGAGGATTCCTCTACTGTGGGCCCTGGAATGAGCTGCGTGGCTCTGGCTGTGCCTTCTGGTCAGGAACTGTGGTAGGTATAGAAGGGACTAAAGCTCAGAGGTAAGAGGCTACGAACAAGGAGGAAGTTCCACTGGATCTTGGGGAATAAACCAGGAGCTCATTGTAATGAAGAAGCTACTTTGGGGATATGAATACAAACGTCTTCACTCCCCCATTTTCCTCTCTTGCAACGTTTGTCGGTTGTTTTGTGTGTGTGTGTGTGTGTGTGTGTGTGTGTGTGTGTGTGTGTGTGTCGGGAGGCGGGGGGCTTCGTACTTAGAGTTCTGCCTGTATATTAGATATCTTATCTTTCTCACAGATTCTGCTTCACATTGACTGTTCTGGGAATTGTTGGGGGAAGGATGATGGGAGATCAATCTGGGGGTCTTCTCTTCACAGACTATTGCAGCAGGAGCAGCAACCATTTTTCATGAGAAGCACCAGAGCCGACTTTCAGTGAGTCCTGAGCACAGATCTGCACACCATCCTTTCAATTTCCCCTTCCTGTGCTTCCATATTTCTGCCTCCTTTTTCTTATGTTCCCAATATCCTTGAGTCCTCCTTAAAGAGGTGAAACAGTTTCCTAGGATAAGATCTTGGGGAAAGGAGATAGACTGAGGCTAGGACACCATGTCATAAATACAGGATCTACATCTTGTGTCTCTCTCCTCTAGGGCTACGTGTCAGTCCTTTTCACCCTGGCTGGCATTGCCACAGTCCTGGCAGCTACTGTCCTGTGTGTCAATAGCTTAACCTGGCAAAGTGATGGCTTCCACTATATCCACTCAGTGTGTGATCACCCTGCCCCTGAGATTACAACCATTGGGTATAGATGGAGGAGGCAAAACTGGAGGGACTCCAACTGGAAGAAGACTCAATGCAAGTCCTACATGCAGATGGTAACGGTGAGAACTAAGTTCACCCTCTAGGGAGACATCATGGCTCCACTGTCCCCAAGGAACTGGCACACAGGAGCAGAGATGAGAGCTCATAGAGGTTGAGCCTAATCCTAGGTTTTTTTGTTTCAGGAATTATTAACATAAACTCAAGAAATTTCTCAGACACTTGTGATGTTAAGATCCCTTAAATCACAGAGGGTGAGGAACAAAGAGGGGACATTTAAGAGAAGAGATTGGGGGCCATCCATCTGCCTTTTTTGCTTTGAGTGGGTTCCAGTAATCTAACAGGACAAAACAATCCACTTCAAACTCAAGTCCAGTGTATTACCTTCTCTTCCAACATTGTGTGTTCTATGGCCTTAGATGGGTCTAGGCTTTCTCTCTCATGAAGTCACTGTCAGGTGCCAGGTAGGGGTGGAGCAATCTCAGGGATCACCCAGGTTAGAAAAGTAAGACAATTAAGGCTCCCACATGTGGCTGGTGTTTGATGCTGCCTCGTGGCTGGGAGGTCAGTTGGGGCTGTCAACCAGAGCACCCACAGTGACTTTTCCATGTGACTCATGCAATTAGGTTCCAACAAGAAACATCTGAAATATAAGCATTTGAAAATGTAAGAAACAGAAATGAAAAGTTACCCCTAGTGCCACTTTCCGTGCATTTTATTTGTCAAAGAATTTCCGAGACCAAAGAAAGAGCCTCCACCTCTTCTTGATAGGCATGGTAAGGTGGCATCGCAGACAGCAGACAATCAAAGGGGGTGGCAGACAAGATGTATCTATCGGGTCCTACCATCCACCTGGTGCCTGAACTGTGGTGATGCAAGAGATTGTCAGGAATGATGCTCCAAATTTTTATTTTTCTTTATTAATTAATTTTAATGAAGATTTACAGAGACTTTGGATTTCCATTCATTCATTGCTGCACTTTTGCCCCTGCCCAACCTCCCCCACCCCAGTTCACTCTTTTCTTTGAAAAGTGAAAGAAAAATTCTTTCACTGTTATACAATCGCTCTCCCAAGCCCATTCCACTATGCAGCCTTTGCTCTGGACTTCTGTCTTGACAATAATACCTAATCATATATTCCTTTTAAACATTTCTCTCCCTCATATGTTTCAACACAGTATACATAATTCATCGCATCTTTCTCAGTCTCCCACCAGCTCAGTCCCCATTCCAACGGGGATGTCAGTCCTGTTTTTACAACAGTGGCACTATGGAGCATTTGTCCTTCTGTGACTGAGATATTTCACTCAGCATAATGTCCTCCAGGCTCACCCATTTTGAATAATATTTCATGACTTCCTTGTTTTTCAATACAGCATTGTATTCCATTATGTGAATATACCACAGCTTCTCCACCCATTCGTTTGTTGATGGGCACTTGGATTGTTTCCGTCTCTTTGCTATTGCCAAAAAAGCCACGATATACATGGGTGTGCACATATCTGCTTGGGTGGCAGTTATGGTTTCTTTGGAGTATATTCCAAGTAGTGGAATTGCTGGGTCAAATGGTATCTCCATTTGCAACTTTTTGAGAAAGTACCACACCGCTTTCCACAGTGGTTGCACCATTTTACACTCCCACCAACAGTGAATGAGGATTCCAGTTTCTCCACAACTACACTAAAATTTCTTGTTTGCTGTTTTGTTGAATTTTGCTATTCTTACTGGGGTGAGATGATATCTCATAGTTGTTTTGTATGCTGCTAATTTAAAGGTCACATCTCTCTTGCACTGTGACTCCAGTAGTGTCGCTGTGAGAAAAAGATGAAGCAATCTCCTTCCATGTGATTTATAACCTCAGAAAACAAATAGAGTATCAGCTATGAGTTGGTTCTGACTTGACAGGAACATGAGAGTAGGGGGGAGAGAGAAAAAAAGGGAGGAAGAGGGAGAGAAGAAAAAGGAGGAGTTAGTAGAAGAAGAGAGAAGGAGGAGAGGGAGAGGTCGAGAAAGAAGCAGAGGGAGAAAGAGAATGCATCTTGTAGAAAGCAACTAGTGGACAGACTCACAAGTTGATGGTTTGGTGGGGCACTGCTTAGAGTGTAATTAGAGAAGTGCCCTCATGACCATTTCTTGTTTTCCTTCCTTTCTAGAACTTGTTCCTTGGAATTCGTGGTCTGCTCCTGGCTGTCTGTGTCCTGCAGGCTGTTTTATCCTCGACTTCCCTGGGCATGGGTCTTCAAAGCTTGTGTAGCCAGAGCTCTGGGTACCTTGTAAGTTTGCAGTGGGGGCACTGCTGGAGGACCACAGCTCTGGGGTCTGGGAAAGGTCATGTTTTCTCACCTTCTTCCCAGAATTCACCTCTGCTCTCTGGGGAATGTGACCCCTTCACAATGTCTGGTCCCCTCCTTTCCACTCTCACTCAAATTTTCCCTTTTTCTCCTTTGTGGCCCATGTATTTGTCTAGCTTCCCCTTTCTGGTCACATTTTTTTTTTCTTTTTGCTTGATCTACATTTTCTGTCATCTTTTCCTATCCTCTTCTTTCCATTTCCTTAATTCCAACTTCTATGAGGTTAACTCCTTCCCTCATCTTTTCCTCCCAACAAAATTATTCAGTTTTTTGTCTTTCCCCCTCCTTCTCAGGATAAAAAAGAGTCAGAAGAGAAGCTATTGGAGGACAGTTCTGTGCCCCCATCTCCTTCCAAAGAGAGGACGCCATCTACCATTGCCTGTGACTTGCCAGGATCTGCCTGTGCCCCTGTGCCTCCCTGTCCTGAGTAGCCCAGGCCTGTGATGAGGACTGTCTTGTCTCCCAGAGCTGCTCACTGGATTGTTTCTCACACGGTATTTTTCCTTTTATTGTTGCCCAGCCCTTTCCTTCCCTTCCCTTCCCTTCCCTTCCCTTCCCTCCCCTTTCCTTCCCTCCCCTTCCCTTCTCATCCTACTGCTCTTCTGACCTCCATCTCTACTTCAATGTTCTCAATTCAATGAACAGATATTGTCTCATTTTACCTAACTCTGGATTTAAAAAATCCAATTAAGACAAGTGAATTTACACAGAAAGGATGTGAACTCCCTTTGTGCACACATGTGGTGTGCAGTTAATAGTTTTTGTGTAATACATATGATATTAAGTGAAAGCTGCCTTATCACATGGAAATCAGATCCAGATCTATTTAAATGTCTTTTCTGTTTTAAGTGTTAAAACTCCTTTTGATGCTTTCCTTATGTCCTAGATAGGGTTCAATAGAGAAGCAAGACAAGTGGTGCACACACATGTGCACACAGACGTGGAGGTAGGGAGAGAGAGAGAAGAAAGGAGGAGGAGGAGGAGGAGGAAAGAGAGAGAAAGGGGAGGAGAAGGGTTAGAGAAAAATGGATTTGCTTCAAGAGTAACAGATCACACATGTTTGGAGACTAACAAAATTTCAAATCCCTGGCTCAGTCGTCAAGAGAGAATGGTTCCGCTTCAACAATTTAGATCCTCCCAGAAGAGCTGTGGGTGAGCATTAACATTACTGCTAAGTATATTCATTTTCTCCTGGACACAAGAACCTACTGTTTGGTCCTAAAAGCCTTCAGAAGTCCCAACTCTTCTCACTATTTCTTAGTTGTTGGAATTGACAGAAAACCTCATAAGCAGTTCCTTACTTCACCTCTGCCTTGTATGCGGATTTCTGAGTGGTAAAACAACCCAGTGGTAGATGGAATTTGCTCCAGGACTTAAGAACAATAAATGACATAGTTGAGCCTCTACATCTTGTGGTTCCTAACCTTTATACTATAATAGACAAAGTGCTAGTCAATAGACCTTTTATTTTAAGAACTAATCTTCCCTCTGTAACTTGATTTGTATCACTATTAGAACCTCACCTTGGAATATTATTGCTTTTTAATTTTTTACTTACGTACTTTTAACTTGTTAAAATTGTGTCTTCTAAGTTGCAACAGTTCCACGATACATCTTCAAGGATAGGGACATGTATGGCTAAGCACAATTGATAACAGTGCATCTAAATTCCAAAATCAATCTCCATAATAGTCTACGTGTTTCCTATTGCCAAAGGGGCCCTTTAGAGTAGTGAGAGAAGATCTTCACCCTGAAACCTACAGCGTCCCTTTTCAGCAGGAAGTAGCTAAGAGAATACACCGTCCCCTTTTCCTTATGAATCAGGGTGAAGTCTCTCTCAGGGAGGAGTGATAGGGAATGGCAAAGGATGCACTGACAAAGGAGATTAATCAGAACTAGCTTTGACAAGCACTGTGGCAATGGGACAATTAAAACAGACTTTCAAGGGGGGGAAAAAGAGGAACAAACTTGGAGGAGGGTAGAGAAAATAGTGCAACAATGAATGAATGGAAACCCAAAATCTCTGTAAATGTTCATTAAAATTAATAAAATTTAATTTAAAAAAAAGAGAGAGAGAATGGTTCAGGAACCTGAGATCAGCAGACCAGAGAGCATACTGCTATCTTTAGATGGGAAAACAAACCCCCAATCAGCAGGCAATATGGCAGGCTACTACTGGCTGAAGTTGAAAGAATTGGAGACTGGATTATTATTAGACAGATGCAGTATCCTGATGGAACTAAAAGCAAGAAAGCTTAGCTAAATATCCCAGACATATTTGATGCAGGTCAAGCCACTAAACAAACACTCTTCAACTAATTGGCTGCTTATAGCAGGTTTAGGGATATTTGGTGGTCTAGTTATGCTGCAATCCTGAAGGTACATCGTTCAAGGCCACCAGCTGCTCCATGGGAGAAGGATGGGAAATCTCCTCCCAGGATATTAACTGTCTCTGAAAACCTGCTGGAGGGTCAGCTATGAGTTGGTTCCAACTCTACAATACACAACAATAGCAAGTTTCATCATGGAATTGATTACATTACATCAGACTTCATCCAGGAATTTATGACATCAGAGCTCGTCAAGGAGGTGATTACATCATACCAGCCAAAACAGCGACTCATGGATAACCAAGTTGACATACAACCTTAACCACTACATTTTCCATTCACATCAAGTGAAAAGCAATTTTCACCTACTGAAAAGTTTTTTTACCCATGAAGATTGTGTCTAATAAGTTACAGCTTTAACTTGTACACTTTAGAGAATTATGTGGTTATGCAACACATTTTTTTCTCCCTCCCTCCCTCCCTCTATTCTTTTTTCTTTTGCAATAATTAATGTTGGTTCACTCTCTCTTTCTTTACACACACCACACAAACCCCCCCCTTACTATTCTTCACTTTCATTGTAAATGATATACTTTTTCTGTTTTAATTTTCTTTATAAATGTATATGTAGGTGCACATGTGTTTTGAGTATGCTGTTATTGTTATTAGTTGTTGAGTCAATTCCAACTCAGTACAAAGTAGGGTAGGATTTTCAATGACTGTGACTTTTTGGGAATAGACTCCTAGACCTCTTGTCTGGGGCTTTTGTGGGTCAGTCCAATTCACCAAATTTTTGGCCAATAGTTGAATGCTTAATCATTTGTGTGTCTCTGGGGTTCTGTGTCTGTGTATGTATTTTTTTGAGTGCAAGAAATCAGATTATGGTCTGTAGAGTTATGAAGTAACAGTTACGGTGGCTGCCTGCCCCCCATAACAGAAGAAGTCTTTTGTTTGCACTGTGGTGTTATGTAATCTGTCTGAGGTAGATTTTTTTTTATTACTTAGGTCCACAGGGGGACAAATGACATTTAAAGTGAAGCAAGAGGCTCCCAAAAGCCTCCTCCCCACCCCACTTTAACTGTTAACATGTAGCTTCCTCATCTGTTTCAATACAATATTCATAATTTATCCAGTTTTTCTCTGTCATACCCCCACCCTGATGTCAGAACCATTATGTATATTGTATTGAAACAGATGAGGGAAAGAACAGATTATAAGTGATATATGATTGAGTATTATGGTTAGCACAGGAATCCAGAATTAAGGTTGCATAGAGAAGTGT